TTCTGGCGAGGTCCCAGATACAGGTGGGGACCTCGATGCTGGGCACCAGAGGGAAGGTGGTACTTAATTATAAAGTGGCAGGGAGACAGGCTGAACTGAGGTCTGCTGCTGGGTGGAGAGAAGAACATGTAAGCGATGAACTTGAATATTCAGCTGAGGTTTCTGAGAACAGAGTGGAAGGTGCAACCTGGTTTCTCCTTGCTGCTTCTAAAAAAATGCATGAAGAAAGAGTCTGGAAAAATATCTGCCAGCCAGGGAGCACCAACATGGCCAGCTGCCAGCAGAGCCCAGAAGAGGCAAGTAAGGTCCTCCCCTCGAGCCTTCAGAGAGCACACGTCTCTGCTGGCATCTTGACTTTGGACCCCGGGAGCAATGACACAATCCGTGTCTCAGCTGTTTCAAGCTGGAGTTTGTGGCGACCTGCCAGAGCAGCGCCAGGCATCCCCCCTCCACCTCGCCCCTGCCTGCTGCCTTCTCCCATCCACCGAGCAACCCAAAGGTCTCCCCTTCGGTGGCACACTCTGGGCAGGGCTGAGCTGCGAGATGATATTCTTCCTCATTCCCCACCACATTTCTGGCCCAGATGCACCATGGGTCTCAGCGATGAGACAGAGGTTGTGGCTTTCTCAGAATTTAGATTTCAGTCCTCTGAAGACTTTTGTTTTTGGCAACAATTATACAACATCGAAACAAAAACTAAAAATTGTTTCTTTTAAAAAGACACAGGAATGTAAGGCCTGATAGTGCGTTAAGGCCTCCTGAGCTCTTAAGGCGAACAGGCAGACTGTCAGGGTGGGATGAGCTGGGGGTCAGAGGCAAAAGCAGGCCCCGGTCCCAGCAGCAAGAACCGAAACCGCACTCTTACAGAATACCAACACCGCACAAAAGGACTATTTCCTCTTAATCAGTGCAGAATGTCTCCCATTAATATATGAAAAGTAGTCAGTAGAAAAGGGTGTGGGTCTGATTCTGCCACTATCAAGGTCTATGGCTTGGAGAAAAGCCAAAAACAAACAACTCCCAAAAAACCACAACCCCCGTGTGCCCCAGTATCTTTACAGATAAGAAGTCCTAGGTTGTCTAAATCCGATGCCTACTACAGAACAGTGTCACAGGAGTCTATCTGGGCCTCGCCCAACGAGGACAAATCCCCAGACTCTCCCCCAGGCACGATCCGTGACCCCACGACCACTTACATGCAAGTTCTCAGGTGTTGATCAGCTGTAGTTATAAATCTCCAGGTGGAACAGGGGACCATGGTCTGCAAAGAGAGACCCCGAGGAGGGCCCAGGTGTGAATACGAGTATGGGCCTTCTTTTCCCAAGGCCCTGACATCCCTGGGGCCATCAGAGTAATGGACAGTTACAGATAGTTACGGAGATCACCTTTATTTACCAGCCAGCACCAACAGCCAAGAGCCTAAGAAGTGAGTAAGGAGGGATGTTTGTCCCCTAGTTCTCTGCTACTCTCCACACACGCAGCATCTTTCCTCGCTCATCCGCCTAGACTTTTCAGTCCCGCAAAGCCAAACCCCACAGCATTTGCTTGGATGGTCCCTGGATTCTTAGCCATTCCTCGGCACTAACGGTGGAAGAGTTGGCTCGGGAGAACGGGGGTCAGGGACAGACTCACAGGCTGTCGGCCACTCCTGGCGGTGACCTGCCCTCTCTAGGATTTACAGCGAAGTTTGCACGGTTTCTGCCATTGCCTTCGTTTCCGTCTTTTGGTTTCAACTGGACGTCTTTTGTTGCTTCACTTCCATCTTCGAGGAAAGAGAGTGTCTCGAGTGCTTTATTACAAATGATAAACACGATGAGCAAAACTTTAGCGAGGGATAAAGGAATGACTGTAATGTTTATGCCAACATCTCACGGAAGAATTTCTCTGTTGCTGTTTTCCACAATCCCTTCTATTTTCAAGAAATGGGGAACAGGGTGATTTCTTGTAAATTCACTCATGCACAGTAAACCATGCATCTAACTCAGCCACAGCAATTTCCTGCCTCACCTCCCTTGAGTCTGTCTTCCTCATCAGGCCACAAAGGCGAAGTCACAAGTTCTTGACTTCTTATTTGTGCCTGCTGTTGTGCTCACAACGGACTGACGGAAGAAGGTTGGGCCACGGAGGAACCCCACCATGGAGGTCTGTTGGCCTCTGCACAGGCCATCTTTTCCCATCTCTCTGCAGGCTAGTGCTGGCCTGAGGATGAGCTGGGCGTTTTCCTGGGAATCTCCAACCAGGGCACTGTTCAGAGCACGCACCGCAGCTGGCTGTTTTGACCCAGACATCTGCCAGGCAATGGCAGATTCCTATGGCCTGATTTTCCAGTATGTGGGTCTCACCTTCCTGTTTCAATGTAGGTCTTACAATTCTTGTTAAAAACTGGGCATTTTAGGTAACATGGTGTAGCAAGTCTGGATAGTGATTACTTTTCCAGGCTTTGATTAGCTGTTGTTTACTTGTCAATAAGAACACAGAAATTGCTTTTTTTAAAAAACAAAATAGAAATTCTGCAGGTGAAAAGTATAATAACTGAAATGAAAATTTTACTAGTGGGACTCATCCATAGACCTGAAGTGCTAGAACAAAGAATTTGAGGATATAATAATTATAAACACACACAAACTTCACAATTGAGCCCTGAAACATAGGAAGCAAAAAATAACAGATGTCAAGGGGAAGTAGACAATTCAACAGTAAGTCCCATGTTGAACAACGCATACAAAAGTTAACCAGAAGGTGGAACCGAAACAGCAGACTTAACCGACGTATAAACCAACTAGACCTAACACTAGAGTACTCTACCCAAAGAAGTAGAATATGCATTCTTTATAGGCACACAAAGAACATTCTCCTAAATATGAGCAATAGGCCATAAAATGAGCCTCAATAAATCTATGAGGCTTGAAATCTAGAGTATGATGGGGTAAGCTCCTTTCCATCAGTCTGGACAATAATTTTTTGGATTGACCACAAGATCAAAGGCAGCAACAGATAAGAAGAACAAGCAAAACTACATCAAACTAAAAGCTTCTGCCTAGCAAAGGAAACCACTGACATACAAAAAAGTCAACCCACTGAATGGGAGAAAATATCTGCAAATCATATATTTGATAAAGGGTTAATATCCAAAATATATAAAGACCTTATATAATTAATAGCAAAAAAAAATCATGAACAGTTCAATTAAAAAATGACAGAGAAACTAAAAGGCATTTTTCCAAAGAGGACATACAGATGGCACATAGGTACATGAAGATGTGCTCAGTGTCACCATCATCACAGGAAATACAAATGAAAACCACAATGAGGTGTCACCTCACACCTGTGAGAATGGCTAGCATCAAGAAGACAAGAGGTAACAAGTGTTAGGGAGGATGTGGAGAAAAGAGAAACCATGTGCACTGTTCATGGGAACATAAATTGGTGCAGCCACTGTGGAAAACAGTAAGGAGGGTCCTCGAAAAATTACAGATAGAATTACCATGTGACCCAGCAATCCCACTTCTGGTATTTATCCAAGCAAATGAAAGCAGGATCTCAAAGAAATATCTGCGCTCGCAAGCTCCCTGAAGCATTATTCACAACAGCCAAGTTATGGAAACACCTAAGTGTCTGCCTATGGATGAATGGATAAAAGATATATATATGATTGTTCGGCAAAAAGAAAGAAGAACATCTTGTCATTTGCAACAATGTGGGTGGAACTTGATGGTATTATCATAAGCGACATAGGTCAGAGAGAGGAAAACAAATACTGTATGATATCACTTTTACGTGGAATTTTAAAAAGCCAAACTAATAGAAATGGAGAGTACAACGGTGGTGACCGGGAGCTGGAGGCTGGGCAGATGGGGAGACATTGGTCCAAGAGTCCAAAGTTCCAGTTATAAGACAAATAAGTTCTTGGGTCTAAAGAGCAGCACAGCACTTATAGTTCAAACCGCTGTATCACACACTCATAGTTACTAAGAGAGTAGATGATCTTAAATGTTCTCACTCAAAAAAAAGAGTAATGGTAGATATGTGATGTGATGAGGGGTTAGCTAATAATACTATGCTGACAATCATTTTGCAATATCAAAGGGTATCAAATCAGCACATTGCACCCTTTAACTTACACAGTGTTACATTTCAATTATATCTCAATAAAGCTGGACAGGATGCGGGGGAGGGGGCGGGGATAAGGTGGAGGGCCGTGGGTTGGGTATCTTCACCTGAGAGAATGAACTGGCAAGACGGGGTAAAAATCAGACCCCAGAACATTAGCTTCAGGTTAAGCGAACCCCCTAACTACACACAGGGAGAGTTGGCTCCAGAAAGTGTAAGTGAGTTAGGCAAGATCACAGAGTTGATTACTGACCTAACCAGGTCCAGGGCCCATAGCACCGTACCCCGTTGTAACCTTCTCTCCACGCAATGTCTGGCTATTTTTCTCACCTGTCTCATGACCCCCCAGAGAGAAGAAACAGAAACCGGGGTCAGAGATACCAACGGAGGCTGGACTGAGGCTCCTACGAAAATTCCACCCTCTTCCTGCTATCTGATCTTTAATAGCTGAAGAGACCTCCTTTTCTTTAAGAACGAGGAAACTGGCAGAGAGGACCACATTGCTGGGCGTGTCCACACTGATGTCCAGTCAAGGATTCCTCCCCGATTCCTGGGGAAGGAGACTCCCAAGAGGCCATTGTATAGGCAGACCTCTAAAAAGCAAAAGGCAACTGGAGGTGAGAGTAGTGGGCAGAGGCTGAAATTGAGAACAGGCCTCAGAAGTGTACATCGTCCTTCACTGAGGCTACAGTCCCTCCTGGGAACAAGATGTGGTGCCGCAGGGACCTTCGGAAAAGATCCCCACAGTCCAAAGCAGGGAGTGGGTTATGCAGTGGAAACAATGCAAAGGCACCACTCACTGGCCCTCCTGGCCCATGTCCTGTCCCTTTAAATCAGCACCATTGGGTCCTCCCTCCCGGGCTCTGAGACTTCCTCCCTGTGCTGTGCTGGCAGGGACAGCCTTCTGCACTCACAACCCAAAGGAAAGCACCAGGTCGGGGGCTTCTGCAGACAACAGCAGAGCCTGACACCACTTCTGCGGGAAAGGTGAGCACACAGGGGAAGGAAGGGAGCCACTGGGGGGAGGGGGGGGAGAGGTAGTGAAGGAAGGGGGGAGGGACTGTAAGGAATTCAGGGCCTGCTTGCAGCTCACTCTGTGAGCACTGCATTCTACTACCTCCCAGGAAGGGGAGCGGGGTCTAGAAAGAATAACTTCACACCTCCAGGCTTCTCTGGATGCTCTGGGTTTGAGAGAAAGCAAGTTCAGAAGAAGCGGTGAGCATCTTCTCCAGCCTTCCTCCTGCCCGCTCCTCGCCTTGTCAGAAAGGGCTTGAGGGGCGGGACACGCTGGAGAAGGCTGCAGCCCCCCCCCCCCAGGGCGCCTGCAGCAAAGGTAAAAGATATTTCTGAGGACAAACGAGCCTAACCTCAGAACACATCACAAAGTGGAAATCGTGTCTGCGAGCTGTCCCCGCTCACACACTCCACCCCCTCAGCCCTGTGCGCCCCAGGGACTTGCAGGAGCCACCAACAGTTATGAACTTGGCCTTCAGACCTTTGCAGCACACCTGCTTGTGTGTGCTCGTACATCCCTTCCCCCGCCCAAGCTGCCCAGGGCCCTGGGGGCTGGGAGCCTTCTCCTTCATACCGGCACACTGGCTATAATAAAGGGCTTGGACAGAATGAATGGCTCAGAAACTCAGAGCCGGGACTGGATGCATTAGAATCTCTGAGGGGAGGATGTGAAGGGGTCCTGTGTGGCTCAGTCCAATGAGCTTTGAGCCCCGCATCTGGCTCTGTGCTGACAGTGTAGAGCCTGGTGCCTGCTTTGGATTCTGTGTCTCCCTCTCTCTCTGCCCCTTCCCTGATCATGCTCTCTCTGTCTTTCAAAAATAAATAAATATTTTAAAAATTTTAATAAAAAAGTATCACTCAGGTGGAGGGGTGAGACTTTTTTTGAGTTTAACTATTTATTTATATTTGAGAAAGGCAGAGACTGTGTGATCAGGGGAGACCCACAGAAAGAAAGAGAAAAAGAATTCCAAGCAGGCTCTGCGCTGTCAGTACAGAGCCCAATGAGGGGCTCAAGCCCACGATCATGAGCTGAACCAAAATTAAGAGTCAGACACTTAATAGACTGAGCCACCCAGGCACCCCACTTTTAATAAAGTACAGATCTGTGATTCAAAACATCAAATATGTATTTTAAAAACACTCCGTAGATACTTCCAAAAGATAGCAGGTTCAAGAAGCACTGGACTAAATAATCTCCAACTCCATTTAACATGATGGGTGTCTTCATGTTCTACATCTGTCAAAGACTACATGCCTTTGTAACCCCAGATTTCAGCTCTCAGAAACTCTGGAAGAAAGTTTCAAATCCCATCCCAAACCCTCTGCGAAGTCCCAAAGGGCCAGGAGGTTAGTGGATTTCCTAGAGCACATTAGGTCATTTCCATCGTTGACAAGGACTTCTTGTTTTGGCTAATTTCCTGTTCTTTGCACTGAATTTTCTGGCTGTTTCTTCAGTTCAGCTGTGTCATGAGAGAAATGTTCAGAGAAGTTATGGGAGTTTGCTGATTTTTACACACAAGATCACTACTCACCTGAGGCCTGTGGGATGAACTTTACCAAGGGTTTTGGGGAGCCGGCAGGGGGTTTACCGCAGAAGGCAAACCTGTCATCTAACTGGTCAGAGGCAAGTTATCAATCAACCACTCCCTTTGCTTGTCCTTATGTGGTACCCCTGGGACACAGCACGGTTACCTGCAGTAACCAGGTGTCCCCATGAAGAGGTAGCATTTGAAATGGCCGGTGGAGCACAGACAGGACTCAGACAGAAACTTGGGAGAGAATCAGTGGTCGTGGGGGTGAGTGCACAGGCGGGCAGGGAAAGGCCCTGAACCTGTCCTCTGCGGAGCAGCTGACCGCGATGGGGAGTGAGTGGGACACCGGGCTGGAGGAGAAGACGGAGCAGAGCTGTGCCCTTGTGTCCAGGTCGTCGTGAGATCGGACCCACTTCGTGGCTGAGTGGCTAGCTGTAGGAAATCCTGCTGGACCTGAGTATCATCGCTTATTTGAGAAGCCTCAGATTTGGGGCAGGAAGAGCAGAAGCCAGAGGGGAGTGACCCATCTCTCCAGCACACAGGTCGTATCTACACAGATGACATGAGCCGAATTATTTAGTTCTCTGAGAGCAGATCACAGGCTCTTCAGATGAGCATGGGAGATTGGTTTCTTTTTCAAATTCCAAAACAAAATACAAAATTTCTTCTTATATTTTTCCCCCAGGCCAACCGCCCTAAGGTGGATGAGCAGATTAGCTAATTCTCAGGGTTTTCGTAAGTGACCCTGGCTGCGGAATCTCCTGGGAAATCTTTGTGCCTACAGCTTATGCCACTGCATAGACTCCCTGGAAACTTAACAGCTAAGGCTCCATCACTAACACGGAGGACGAGGTATCACCTCCCCTCTGTCTTCTGCATTCGGGGCCCCTGAAAAGGGCTCACCAAGTGTTCTCACGGTGTCGCTCCAACGCCAACCGGGTCCTTCCGGGGTTCCTCCCCAAATCCCGCTGTTCAGGGGAGGGCAGGAACCGTGACCGTTTCCCTGGGCTGTCACCGCATCTTTGGACCTTGCCGGAGCCACCGGAGATAGTTATGTCTCTTCGATGAATGAATGAATGACTGCATGAATGAAGGAACGAACAGCTTGTGTTTGGAACTCTTTCAGGTAGGCATGGGAGGACGGAAGATGGCAAGAGATGAAGAAAATGCCTATGGTAAGAGCTGATCTCAGTGGGTACTTGCCCCTAGGCGTCCGCTCTGGGTCACAAGGCCATGGGCTAAGTCAAGACTGAACAGAGACAAATCCCAGACGTGTCCCCACGCTGGGGTGAAACAGCAAGAGCCCCGGCTTGGCATTTTTGCTGGACCTCTGCCCCTGTCCTACTGTGGGACATTAAGCGCCCTGACAAGCCTGTGTCTTGCTTGGGTCCCAAAGGGTACAATGAGCATAACAAATCTACCCTGATCCCCATAGATGCGGAGGCTGTGAGATCCTGGACTAGAGGGAACACGGTTTAGCCGGGAGAATGTTAGGGAACAAGGATGGAGGACTAAGGGTATCTTGCTGGCAGCAGGCTGAATAGAGAGAGGGCGGAGGGGAAGCGGGAGGCAGGGAAGCAGGAAAGAGACCACGTCGCCTAATCCTCTGAGCAACCCCGGGAGAAGCAGCTCCGTCACCCCTCCCCTTGTGCACAAGAGGCTGGAGGCTTACCCTCAACGTCCCCAAGGCTCCACAGCTGGCACGTGCTGGGCTGTGATCCCAACCCGGGGTGTCTGGGACTCCAGACAGCCCTTAGCTCCGGGCCTGCTGTGCCCTCCCGCGTGGCCTCGCTGGGATGGCCTCTGGGAGAAGTCTGGCAGAGGCCACGGAAGTCGTCAAGCACCGAACCGCCCTGCACGGTGCGGACGATCAGAGGCAATGGCAGCTGAGGTCACGGCCTGCGCGCATCGAGGGGGACCCTCCAGAGCGACGTGCACCCGGTGCGCAGCTCGGACAGGTGCACGCGCTGAGGCCGAAGATGGGAGGAAGATGGCTGAGGTGCCCCGGAGCCGCCCCAGCGGTAGCCAGAGCGCCTGCAAAGGCCCGGTTGGAAAAGCAGAAGCGGGGAGCGCGGCCGTCCTCGTCTGTTCGGCCCCGCGGGAGCGGGCCTCGCGCTCGCAGGCCGGCGGCCCACTCCACTCTGTTCTCGCAGGTTCGGACGACAACCGGGACGCCGAGCAGCCGCTGGCGCAGGAGCCCAGGCTCCGGCTCATCCTGGCCGGCAGGACCGGAGCGGGCAAGAGCGCCACGGGCAACAGCATCCTGGGCCACAGGCGCTTCCCGTCCCGGCTCGCGACCGCCCCGGTGACCAGGCGCTGCGACGTGGGGAGCCGCCGCTGGGCCGGCTGGCGCGTGGAGGTCACCGACACCCCCGACCTCTTCAGCGCCCAAGGGCGGCACGCAGACCCGGACCGCACCGAGCGGGCCCGCTGCTACGTGCTGTCGGCGCCCGGGCCGCACGCGCTGCTGCTCGTGACGCAGCTGGGCCGCTTCACCACCCAGGACGAGGAGGCCGTGCGCGGCGTCCGCGATCTCTTTGGGGCCGGCGTCCTGGCGCGCGCCGTGGTCGTCTTCACGCGCCGGGAGGACCTGGAGGGGGCGTCGCTGCACGACTACGTGCGCGCCACCGACAACCGCGCGCTGCGGGCCCTGGTGGCCGAGTGCGGCGGCCGCGTGTGCGCCCTGGACAACCGCGCGGAGGGCGCCGAGCGCGAGGCGCAGGTGGACGAGCTGCTGGCGCTGGTGGAGCGGCTGGCGCGGGAGCACGACGGCGCGCCCTTCACCAACGACGCGTACGGCCTGGCGCGGGCGCGGCGCGACGTGCGCCCCGAGGACAGGCTCCGCCTGGTGGCCGAGCGGCTGGCGACCCGCGGCCATGGGAGCGGTTCGGGCGGTGCTGGCCTAAGGCCGCGTGGCGGATGTGGCTTCAGGCTCTCCTGCTGCTGGGGGGCGCGCTGTTAATTATCCTGCTGCTCCCCCTGTGGGGGCCACAGGCCCTAATCGAGGACGCTGCCCTTCAAAACGCGGGGAACCCAGAAGGATAAGGGTTGAGTACATGGCCCCGAGGGAATTTAAAACCACTTTCAAAAGAAACCTGGACTTTGAGACGCAGAGTCTTAATGACATACGAAGCGTCGAACACTATCAACTTTGCAGAGGCTCAAGTTTACTCTTAAGCGTTTGGTGTCACTTTTGAATATTTGGACAGTTTTTCACTTACATGTGTCTAACCTACAAACGTCCTTAGCTCGTTTTAGTAGTTTCGATGCATTTTTCCTTTCTTGAAAAAAATAGTGGAATGACTGGTAGTGTTTAGTAGAAAGTGGATTCATGGCAAAGGGAAACAAGCATTTTTATTTTGAGCATTTATCAAAATGTAGACAGTGTCTTAGTCTGCTTGCGTTGCTATTTAAAACAACAACACACCACAGACTGGGCCCCTTATAAGCAGCAGAAGAATTTTCCCCATGATTCCAAGATGGAGGTTGGAGTCCAAGACGGAGATGCCATTTCAGTCAGGGTCTGGTCAGAGACCTCTCTGGGTTGCAGACTGCTGGCTTCTGGCTGTGTCCTCACAGGGTGGAAGGGATGAGCCCGCTTTCTGGGGCCTCTTTTATAAGGACACAATCCTCAGTTATAAGGGATCTACCCTCTTGACTGATCCAGCTCCCCATGGCCCCACTTCCTAAAACCATCCTCTTAGGCATGAAGTTTAAAACATGTTGAGAAGACACAAACACTCAGAGCAAAGCAGACGCTGATCCTCCCTGATACCGTTCTAGTTCTTATGCCCGGCGAGATCTGTCCCTTCGTGACCCTTGGATGCTTTATTATCAGCAGTGAAAGTGATATCAGGGTCATACACATTAATGTTTACTTCTGATACATCGGTTTATTTACTTTACAATAACTTACTGCCAAAAGATAAATGTAACTCTACTGAAAATAACACAGTTTCCAAGTTTCTAGCACTTATTATGGCTCATGTCTTTTCAAAGTGAGGTAGAAATTTGAGGAATGTCTTCAATGTAGTTATCAAATGGAGTTTTTGCAGAAACAAACAAAAACCCCAGAGGATCTTTCACACAATGGAGAAGAGAGGGAGCCACGGGTGCCCTGGTGGACAGCCTCAGACCCCCTGAAATTCGCCTGCTATGGTGGCACCATGGACTTTAATGGGGGTAAGACAGCCCATGAAAGTGCTTGAACGCCACATCAGAAAATCAGACGCCATCCTTAGGCTATGTAACCAACCGATAGGGTTTCCTTATTGCTATGTCAGAATGTGACTGAACACTTTCAGGGACTAGGTTCTTTCTTCAAATCAGCCGTGCTCAAGTCCGGCGGTGTGGATGCAACAGGAGGCATCTACTCACCTGGCCCGGGTTCAGGGACTGGAAGGAGGGTGGTATTGGGGCAGCCAGTTACATGTGGAGAAGGTGACTGTTGGGGGACCGCTAGGGCCGTCCCAGCTCTACGTGGATTAGAAGGGCCCGCGCACCTGTGCTTAGATGTCAGGAGTTCTTGGGGTGGCCGAGTGGGGGTGGCAGGTTGGACTTCGGGGTTACGGTGAGCTGTGGTCAGGAGGCCTGAAGGCCCCAGTGGCCCCTGCAGTGAGCTACACTCTGTGAAGCACAGCTGGGCAAAATTCCGTTATTAATCTCCATCTTTAGTGTCCTCAGCAGCCCAGGAGGGCTCACATGGGGGCTCTGAGAGATGGGGGATCCCTTCGGTGACCTGGCAACTCAGGAACCCGCAGGGCAGTAGGGAGGGGGCCGGTGCCCCTAGCTCGGCCTCCAGGGCCGCGTGTGTAAATTCACGCACTGCAGGGCTGACTTTAACCCGTTATTCTTTCATTTCACGTTGTCTCATGCACACGTGTCCACACATGCCCTGCAATTGTTGTCATTTCCTATTATTTGTTTCTGTCTTGTTTGCATGTAGAAATGGGACTTCTAATATAAGTATTATGGTTTTTAAATTCTCATATGGAAATGTGTGCCTGAATCAAGGGAAGGCTTAGACATCCACAGGTAAAAAGCTCTACTTGGGACATCGCAAGGGAGTGTTAGAAGGAGTGTTGGAGAGGGAGGACCTGGGTGGCTCAGTTGGTTAAGTGTCCGGCTTTGGCTCAGGTCATGATGTCACAGTTCATGGGTTCAAGCCCCACGTCGGGCTCTGTGCTGACAGCCCAAGAGCCTGGAGCCTGCTTCCAATTCTGTGTCTCCCTCTCTCTCTGACCCTTCCCTGCTCACTCTGCCTCTCTCTCTGTCTCTCAGAAATAATAAAACACTAAAGAAAAATTTTTTTGAAAAAAGAAGTATTGGAGAGAGCAGGGTGTGGCATGTGGTCCGGGACTTCTGTCTCTAAGCCGTCCCTTATGCACTTGCTCCAAGAGGTGGGGCCCAAGGGGGTTCCATTTCTTATTGAGATGTTTATATTAACATTCATCTTTATAGTTGTTGTGTATGATGAAATATGATGAAATCATTTTGTAAGTTAAATTCCATAAAACTATGATACAGAAACAGCAAATCCAAGAGGAAACTTTTCGTAATAGTAAATACTCATAAATAAAAAATTTCATGTTCGTAAACAGATATATTTCACACTCCTACATACTCTACATGTATTATTCACAATAATGAATATTGCACATTATTGTGTGTATAGAGCTGGGAGCGAGTGGAAATGTGAGGTAGGATACGATTAGATGCCAGTTACAAAGTGCAGATGTGGAAATTTTGATCTATATCTATATAGTAATAGTGTATTGAGGAATCTACAACATATGTGAAAGTCAGGCATATGACAACACCTGGGAGGGAGAAATGGTAAGTACACTAGTGTAAGTTCCTTAAACGACATGTGACATGGTCTATTATTACTTCAATATAGACTGTGATAAATGGTCTAAACACCCTGGAATAAAAAGCTGGGACTATACGATTGGATTAAAAAGCAAGGCCAACCACATGCTGTTTAAAAGAAACTCACTAGAAATATGACAAGTGTATTAGTTTTATACCGGTGCCTAACAAATGACCTCCAACTTAGCAACCTGAAACAACATACACTCATCGGCTCGGTCTCAGTGCGTCTGGAGTCCAGGCAAGACCCAACTGGGTCCTGTGTTCAGAGTTGCTCAAAGCTTCAGTTGTGGAGTCAGCCACTCAGTGGTCTTATCTGGAGTTCAGGGTCTTTTTCCAAATTCATTCAAGATGTTGGCAGCATTGAGTTGCTTGAGTTGTTCCCAGAGGGTCATCCTGGCTGCTCTCCTTGATGGACAGTTCCCAATTTGGATGTTGAATATGGATATTGTCTCCAGCAGGAGAATTTCTTGCTTTTAAATCTTTTTGATTAGGTCAGGCCTACTTGGTATAATCCCACCTCTCCTTTTTTTCTAAAGTTTACTTATGTATTTTGAGAGAGACAGAGACAGTGTGAGTGGGGGAGGGCAGAAAGAGAGAGAGAGAGAATGAATCCCTAGCAGGCTGAGCACTGTCAGCTCTGAGCCTGATGGGAGGCTCCAACTCATGAAATCGTGTGATCATGACCTGAGCTGAAACCAAGAGTCAGACGTTTAACAGACTGAGCCACCGAGGCACCCCTGTAATCCCCCTTTTGACCAACCCAAAGCCAACAGATTAAGGACCTTAATCACATGGCAGAGTGCCTTCACCTTTGCCATGTAAAGTGACATCCGTCCTATCCACAGGTCTCCCCATGCTCAAGGGGAGGGGATAGTCTAGGGCTTGCGCACCACTAGCAGAGGCATCTCAGGGCCCATCTTAGAATTCTGTCTACCACAGCAATATAGGTCGGTGAAAAGCAAAAATATGGTGAAAGAAATACCATGAAAACACTAATGAAAAGAAAGCTGAATCACTGTGTCACTAGAAAGGCAGGCTTCAAACAAGGAATGCTATTAAAGATAGACAGACATTACAGAAGGATAAATATGTTCATTTACCAAGAAGATATAACATTCCTAAAAATGCGTACACCTAAAACTTCTTCAAAATACATGAAGCAAAGGCTATACAAATCAAAAGGATAGACAAATACGAAAGTATACTTGGAAATTTAACCCCCTTTCTTAGTATTTGGTAAAACACATACACCGAAAATCAGTAAGAATACAGAAAGTGTAAGACTGGATACTTTCTTGTTAAGGTCAAGAAAAGGCCAGTATGTCCATCCTTATCATTCTAATTCATCATCATACTGGACATCCAGCCAGTGAACTGAGGCAAGGAAAAGAAATCAGTCATAAAAATTGGAAGGGAACTAATAAAGCTCTCTTTAACCAGAGATGACATGATTATCAATGCAGAAAATCCCAAAGAGGGGAAAAAATATTCTATTTTTTTAGCAAAGTATGAGAATGCAAGATCAACATGCAAAGACTGATTATATTTCTGTGTACTAGCAATGAACAATTGGAAATTGGAATTAAATCATCAGTACTATTATAATAGCATTAAAAACCATGAACTACTTTGGGATAAATCTCAGATTTTTATGCTGAAAACTATGCTGGTGAGAAAAATCAAAGAAGACCTAAATAAATGGAGAGATATCTTGTTTGTGGATAAGAAACTTCAGTATTGTTAAGATGTCAATTCTCCCCAGTTTCATCGATAGAGCAACACCGTCTCGATCAAAATCTGAGTGGGATTTTCTTTGTAGATATTCACAAGATGCTTCTAAAATTTATATGTGGAGAAAAACAAAAAACAAAAACCATTTTGAATAAGAAAAAGTTGGAGGATTCATACTCCCTGATTGCAGGATTGGCTATCAATCTACACGCATCATAACTGCAAGGTATTAGTAAATATTACCATATATATGAATCAGTGTGACAGAATAGAGTCCAGAAATAGACCAATGGAAATATAATCAATAAATTCTTGGAAAATATTACAAAGTAATTATTAGAGAAAGGATCATCTTTTCCAGACATGGTGATGGAAAATGGGCATCAATTTGAAATAAAAAAGAATCTTGATGCATACTTTACACTGTATACTAAAATTAACCATGTGATTTTGTGAGTGACATTCCTCTGCTCTGGGCATCAGTCTCCTTATCTTTAAAATGAGAGGAGAAAAAGAAAATCTTCTAGATGAACTCTGGGATCCTTCTCGCTCTTACCTCCCATGGCTGTCTTTCTTGCCTTCTACCTACATAGAACTCACTATTCACTGGGTTAAACTTGCAGATGAACAAAGTGTACATGCACATCTCCCCGAGGTTAATGGCAGCAGAGGCTGTGGGTGTCAGAAATACACAAGCTATGGCATCTCATCATTTCTTATGTTGTCACTGAGCTGTTCCTAGCACCTCTTGTGCATATCAACCCCATTCACCATCTCTCACAGAGGAATTAGCTAACAGGTGGCCCACCAAATTACCAGGTGAATTTAGGGCAAACTGTGTTTAATAAATAATATGGTCAAATCTTCTTACTTGAGGAATAGTTACAGTTTATCCTGACCACACATGGCAACCTACAATTTCCTTGTTTTTACAATCTCTTCGAGGATGGCTTGTAATGCACATCGCCTTCCGGTTTAATGCCTGTTCCAAGATAAAAACTGTTTTCTTTCTCTTCTATTTTGATGGACAGGTTTTCTGAATTTGCAAGAGATTGTTTCAAATTATATTCCCCTCAAAATCTCAGGCAATGATTATTAAGTGACTCTAAGCCTAACTTCAAATATGAACAGAAAGGAATCTGGAGATTTTCTAGGATAAGACTGGGCTCAGCCAAAACACATATCATGCTCGGATCTCGTTTTGCAACATAATTGATTTTTGTTTGTTTGACTGATTGAGTTTAATTCCAGTATAGTTAATATACAGAGTTGTATTAGTTTCAGGTATACATATAGCAATTCAGCAATTCCATATATCATTGACTGCACATCATATAAGTGTACTCTTAATCCCCATCACCTATTTCACCCATCCCCCCACCTCCCCTCTGGTAAATCTCCAAGGTGCTCTCTATAGTTGAGTCTGTTTCTTGGTTTGTCTCTTTTTTTCCTCTGTTCATTTGTTTTCTCTCTTAAATTCCACATATGAGTGAAATCATATGTTATTTGTCTTTCTCTTACTGACTTCTTTCACTTAGCATTATACCCTCTAGAGCCATTCATGTTGCAAATGGCAAAATTTTGTTCTTTTCAGGGCTGAGTAACATTCCACTGTATATATACACCACATCTTCTTTATGCATTCATCTATTGATGGACACACAGGTTGCTTTTATAGTTTGGTTATCATAAATAATGATGCAATAAACATAAGGGTGTATGTGTCCTTTGGTTTAGTGTTTTTTAATTTTGGGGTACTCAGTAGTGCAATTACTGGATCATGGGGTAGTTCTATTTTTAATGTGCTGAGGGATCTCCATACTGTTTTCCACAACACCTGCACCAGTTTGCATTCCCCCCAAAAGTGCACGAGCGTTTTCTCTTGTTCCACAACCTCACCAACACTTGTTGCTTCTTGAGTTTTTTTTTTTTTTAATGTTTATTTATCATTGAGAGAGACAGAGCATCAGAGGGAGAAGGGCAGAGAGAGAGGGAGACACAGAATCTGATGCAGGCTCCAGGCTCTGAGCTGTCAGCACAGAGCTCTATGTGGGGCTCGAACTCACAAACTGTGAGATCATGACCTGAGCCGAAGTCGGGTGCTTAGTGGACTGAGCCCCCCAGGTGCCCCGCTTCTTGAGTTTTTTACTTTAGCCATTCGGACAGCTGTGAGGTGGTATCTCAGTGAGGGTTTGATTTGCATTTTCCTGACGATGAGTGATGTTGAGCATCTTTTCATGTGTCTGTTGGCCATCTGGATGTCTTCTTTGGAGAAATGTCTGCTCGTTTCTTCCACCCATTTCTTCACTGGATTATCTGGGTTTTGATGTTGAGCTGTATAAGTTCTTTATATATTTCGGATGCTAGCCCTTTATCAGATACGTCATTTGCAAATACCTTCTCCCCTTCCCTAGGTTATCTTTCAGTTTTGTTGAGTGTTTCCTTTGCTGTGCAGAAGCTTTTTCTTTTGATGTAGCCCCAATAATTTCCTCAGGCCAGAGAAACAAATGCAAAGTAACTGTTTTATATTCATTACTCTAGCCTGAAATGTGCCATCACCTGACAAACAGAAGAGCCATAGCCTCCCAGACCTGCCCCTGGAATCAATGGACACATCAACTCCACACCCGGCCAACCCCCTCAGGGCTGGTTTTTCAGAGGAAGAGAAGGGGCAGCCAACCCACGGGGTCTGGAAAGCCCTAGAAATCACGTCCGACTGCTGTTCTTTCAGTCCCTCTGTGGACCAGCCCGGGCTTTCCGTCCCTGAGAAGCAGGAGCATTCGAGAAGCGGGGTTCTGGGTGCCATCGGTGCTGGGAGCAGCGAAACGGCGGACCCCGAGGGGACCGTCGCCGTCTGCGGGGGGCACGGGCCGCGCTCCCCGATCCCCCTTTGCCGCCTGGCGCTGAGGCCGAGCCCTGGAGCCCACGGCCTCCTCCGCGGCTCCTCCATAAGTGCACCCGCCCCGCTTCCTGCTGCGCCCTGGCCGCCCTGCGACCCCGCCCCCGAGAGGCACCCGGGGAGCCGCCCCAGAGCCGTCTCCAGAGCCGCGGTCCCCCGAGAGCCGCCTGCCGCCGGCGTCGCCGCCACCCCGAGACCACCGGCCCGAGAGTCACCCCGAGAGCAGCCGTCGGCCCACCCTCCCCCCAAGGCCGCCAGCCGCCGCCCTGAAACCCGCCTTAGAGCACGGAGCCCGCAGCGCCGCGCCTGGTAAGGGGAGCCGGTAAGGCCCCAGCGTCGTTGGGGGTCTGAGGGCCCACGGTTTAGTCCCAGCTGGTGACTTCCGGTGTCATCTCACCCCGGGGGGCAGGACCTGTGGGTTCTCCCTTCAGTGAACCCGGGCGGTGATGGTCGGCGTCACAGGCACAGGGGCTCGGGGTGGCTGGGAAACAGGCTGGGAACCCCTCCGCCTGCGCTCGCAGCCCATCTCACGTCGTGGCACAGCAGGCCCGTTGTCTCCTTCCCGGCCCCTATGATCCTCATGAACCCCACAGGCTTTCTTAAAGCTGGACGGCTCTGGTCCTCCCCTGTGACAAAGGAGAAAACTCAAACGCCCCAGATGCCCTGGACAGGTAGGGACACACGTCAGTTTCACTCTCTCAGACTTCTCATAACCCTCCCCACCACCCCGGGTCCCTGACTTGTGCCAAGGCCCAGAAAGGTCTGGGAGAGGAGGAGGGATTCCTAGGGTTGCCAGGGACAAATGTAGGGTCATTATTCCATCCCCCACCCCCCATCCCCCACCCCATGGGCCAGGCGTTCCAAAAAGACCCCTCAGGGGACGCTGTCTCATGACTTTGATCGGAAGCCATTCCATTCGCCCCAAATACCGCCCACCCTTCCCATGACATGAAATAAGCAGGACTCTAGTCTATGGCAAACATGCTCAGGGCATATGGGACAATTCTTTGGTCTGCTAACCCTTAGTGAGAGTTGTGTCACAACCTCACAGTGACCCAAGTACGGAACAAGTGACTCAAGCCAGGAAATCTAGGGACTGGGCAGATGAGTGAAGGAGATACTTGTGAATTAGACAAGAAATATTTTCTTTATCTTTTCCAGAACAGCATGAGAGAGAGTGCTTTCTCATGGTTTGACAAAATGAAGTCGCATCATGATGAAATCAGGCTCATTTAATTTTAAGATCAGAATGCGCATTATGTTTGCTTTAAACTCCTACCTAAGCTAGACCCTCCCACCATCCCTGGCTGCTGCTGTCATTATCTCTGCTTACACACTGCCTGCCACTCTCTCCTGATACCTCATCCCATTTTGGAGAAGGTTAGCAGAATTTTCCTCCCGGAGAAGAAATCTGCCTTCGTTCCCAGTTCTCTCACTTCTGCCTACGTTGAGGTTGACACATACCACATTCCTTCAGGTATACGATGCTCCCCCAGTCTTTTCCAAGGCTTTATTCCATCCTGTTAATATTTTGTCTATGACTCATTTTAGCATTTCTGTCCATATCTTTCTGCCTTGCCTCTGGACACTTTCTTATTTGTTAATATCTGCCTAAAACTCCATCCTTCAGGGGGAGACATGTCTCCCACTGGAGCCTGGCCCTCTCAGAAGATGGGTCAGAAGAACCACTATACTGCACTTCCACTAACGTAACCTGAGTTTGATTGGCCGTTTGCGACAACCACGTAGCACCACTTGGGTCACATTAATCAAGTCAAGTAAAAACACCAGATTGTTTTTAAACCAAACTACTTCAATTCAGAGCAACTCCTGCCTCCTGCAATTTTTTTGAATATTATTTTTTTCTTTTTTGGAAAGACGTGCACCCCAGATTTTGCAATACAATTCTCCGTGTTGAATCTAAGGCAGGCTTCCAGCCTATCAGTTGGTGTCCTGACCGTGGGATGCTAGCATTGTATGCGGTGTTCCAAGATGCTTGTGGACTTGTTTAGAATAGTCTCTTTTACCCCCTCTGGAATCAAGGAGAATATGTAGTCAAAAAGAGCCTTTTTTTAAAATGTTTTATTTATTTCTGAAAGAGAGAGGCAGTGTGATCAGGGGAGGGTCAGAGAGAGGGGGAGATACAGAACCCAAAACAGGCTCCAGGCTCTGAGCTAGCTGTCAGCACAGAGCCCGACGTGGGGCTCAAACGCATGAACCATGAGATCATGACCTGAGCCGAAGTCGGACGCCCAACCGACTGAGCCATCCAGGCGCCCCTTAAAGGAGCCTTTTTATATATCTTAGCTCCATGGCAATCGGGTGACCTTGGGCCAGTCATTTGTTGCTCAATTTCCTAATATTTTGATAGAAATTTCAAGACTATCTTGGTCACATCACAGGGAATTTGTTTATTTTTTAAATTTTTCTTTACTTTGAGAGAGACAGAGAGAGGGAGAGGGAAGGGCAGAGAGAGAGAATCCCAAGCAGGCTACATGCTCAGTATGGAGCCCAACAAGGGGATGAATCCCACCACCAAGAGATCATGACTTGAGCCAATATCAACAGTTGGACTGTTACCGACAGCCACCCAGGCGCCCCTCACATCACAGGCAATTTAGAAGAACAGTTATAATCACGGACATGAAAGAATTCTGAAGCTTACAGATGGCTACACAGCGGATGCTCACATGATGGAACCATTATCAGCAGCCTCACTTCCATCATCGTCGTCTTTACTGAATCAATAGATTGATTCCAGCATATTTTCTGAGGTTCCCAAACCTCAGAAAATCTCATCTGAAGATACAAAAGATGTCAGAGAACTTGAACAGTTTTAGCAAAAGCTGGAGTATAATTTACCAAAGGCAAGGACAACACATGAAAGACGTGCTATTCTCTGGGCTTAAGGAAAGGAAGGGAGGGAGGCTTGCCTGCGTGGCTCAATCGGTTAAGTGTCCTACTGTCTCTCTCTCTCAGAAATATATTTAAAAATTTTTTTTTAAATTTTTAAAGGAAAGGAAGAGAGGGGAAGAAAAGGAAGGAGAAGGAAAGGAAGATAGGAAAAGAAGGAAATTGTCTTAATATACTCGTATAAAGTAAAAGAGGATGGTTTCCCCTAAGGAGGGCCAAAACAAAACAAAACAAAAACAAACAAACAAAAAACACACCCACTGCATGAGCACAAAAATGTGCAGAAATTATTTATACATAACAGAAGCCACCTGAATAGCCAATAAGCTATGAAAAACACTTTTGGTTCCATGGTAATTAGTAAAATGCAAGTTTAGACCAATTAAGATATCCTTATTTATGCCCAGAAGAGCGACAAAAATTTAAGTCTAATATCACCAAGTGCCAGTGAAGGTTTGAGAATTCTCATACATGGCTGGTGCATAATTAGCAATACCTAGTCAGATGGCAGCCATATATCTCAGGTAAATTGCTGCACGTATGTACATGGGCATTCTTTTTTTTTTTAAATATTTATTTCTGAGAGAGAGAGAGAAAGCAGGGGAAGGGCAGAGAGAGAGACATACACAGAATCCGAAGCAGGCTCCAGGCTCTGAGCTGTCAGCACAGAGCCCGATGCAGGGCTCGAACCTATGAACCGTGAGATCATGCCCTGAGCCGAAGTCGGATGCTTAACCAATTGAACCACCCAGGCGCCCCTACATGGGCATTCATTTGCAGCATTGTTTGTATACAAGCATATAGTTTGAAACAGCTCCAATGTTTGTTGAGAATTAATAAAATGTTCCATAAATAAGGTCACCTACATAAAAACTTCAAAATACAAAAACAGTACTATATATGATCCATAAAGACATATGTATGCAGAAGTATAAATAGGCAAGCGAGAATGACCCATAAAATCCTCAGAATATTGTCTTTCAGAGGACAGAGGGAGGGGCAATGAGGCTGGGTGGGGGGGAGGCAAACAGTGTTACTAGAAGTACCTGTGTAATGTTTGACTTTTCAATCAAACAGAACAGCTCCAGTAAACATGCCCAAATATTTACATTTGTTCATTGCAGATGGCGGCTACTTTGTGCATTTCTCCACTTAAAAAGTGTGTTTCATAACCTCAGAGTCTTTAAACCTGGATAAGTACAAAGAACCTAAGAGTTCATCTTACTCATAGTTGCATATCTCTTGCCTGCCTTCTCTAATGCGCACTTACTTTTTTTAATACCAAGAATGACCCAATATTCTGCCTCATCTGAATGAGACACTTATGCCAATCCTTGTGCCGATTTCTGACTAAATCTGCTGGGATCCAAAAATGGTGATTATTGGGGATCAGGACCTCAGAGCCCATCAGGAAAGAAGTTGGATTAAGATCTGAGCAGGCAGGGGCGCCTGGGTGGCTTAGTCGGTTAAGCGTCCGACTTTCTCTTGGGTCATGATCTCGCGGTTCGTGGGTTCGAGCCCCGCGTCGGGCTCTGTGCTGACTGCCAGCTCAGAGCCTGGAGCCTGTTTCAGTCTGTGACACCCTCTCTCTCTGACCCTCCCCTGCTCACGCTGTCTCTCTCTTTCTCTCCTAGAAATAAATAAAACATTAAAAAAAAAAAAAAAAGATCTGAGCAGGCAGTGGGTTTATCTTGAATTTGTCCTCTATGCTGATTCCGCCCCTTTAGTCACGGCACCACCTTTTCTCCACCAAATTCCCTGGTGTGGGGCAGGGTGGGGGTGCGGTGGTAAGGAAGGTGTTGGGGCTATGCCCTCTACAACTATGTCCTCTGCTATCGATATCTGAAGGCACCCTCGTCCCCATCCCGCTTTCCTGCTGGAAGGAGCCTTGTACTTTCCTCTTTGCCAATGGAATATCTGATACAGTTTCTGGGAGTGAAAACTCTCAGTACTTCAAACAAACGAGTATCATTTACAGCAAGACAGGGGTTTTTTCCCCCTGTATTCTAGCAAGTTTTCCTACTTTGATTCCCACTAATAATAATGATGCCTTACTCCTGGTTCCATAGGGGGATGCTTTCTTCATTTCATGCCTTTTCAAGTTAGGGAGAGAGAATCAACTGATTCGTTCTAAAAATCTTTCTTCATTTCCTGTAAGTTGCAAAAAAAAAAAAAAAGCAACAATGCATTGGGTTAACATAACCTAACTTAACTTCGCCTGGCTTGCATAAAGTTATTCATAGATGTTTGAAAATATGAGTTAGAAAATTAGCAATGGAAAATGGAATTAAATGGAAATGGCTCATCCTAGGATAATTATTCTTAGATATCTGAATTGAAAGTGTTCTCAGGCCTTAGCAACTCTCATATGGACACTTGCTTTTATTCCTTTCCTGTTTTTTTATTCCAGAAGAGAATGGAAGGGCTTCAGAGGAGCGGATATGGAACTATGACTGAAGGTAAGAAAGCCTCAGTGTTTGCAGGAAGTCTAGGCACCTGTAGCATCACTATTCTGTGTCCACCGACCTTCACCTCAAACAAGGGGACAGAAACTCAGTTATTTTAAACTGAGTAGGCACCTGGGTGGCTCAGTTGGTTGATCAGCCAACTCTTGATTTCGGCTCAGGTCATGATCTCATGGGATCTCAAGTTTTAGCCCTGCATTGGGTTCTGTGCTGACAGCGCTTGGGATTCTCTCTCCCCGTCTCTTTCTGCTCCTCCCCTGCTGGCACTTTCTTTCTCTCACAAAACAAATAAACATTTAAAAAAATAAGCCGAAGAAGAAAAAGGCAACCATCACATGTTCTTCCCTTTCCCTATCATCATCATGCCCCATAGTCTCACGTGTACATGATCGGTGGGAAATGTGGAAGTGAAACTTCATGTCAGGGTTTGAAGGACTTGGAACCAGATTGTGAAAATGATTCCTCTTTTCTTGCCTGCTCCCAACTGGAAAGAGGAAGAGTTCTCACAGAGAGTTAGTAACCATGCTTGCTCCAAATGCCTAAGAAAAGGAGGAACCGTTGCTGGGATGAGCACTGGGTGTTATGTGGAAACCAACTTGGCAATAAACTATAAAAGCAAAAAAGAAAAGAAAAGGAGGAACCAACACAGAATAGAAGGAATAAAATAATAGATTTTAGGAGCCTCAAGTGGACTTAATTCACTTGAACTCTTAAGAACTCTAAAAGTCCTTGGGTTCTCACCCCCATCCATCCCTTGAAGATTTTAGCTCTTGGATTGTGTTACTCCACCCCCAACACCACTTCTATTTCCTGTACTTCCACCAGCCAGATGTCTCCAACACACGTGCCTCTAATGTCCTTTCTTCCACTTTTCTTCAGCCTCCCATACAGGGGGCATCTCCCAGACTTTGTCCTTGAAGTTAACAACCTCCTGCCATGTCAGTTTCAAGCATCCAACTGCCTAACCACAGAGCAGAGACCCAGGGACATTCAGCTGGTCCTTGGCGGGAGGTCACCACAGCTCTGACAGCTGAGACACACTTTACTCCTGAGGTTCAGATGTATGCGTTGAGCCTGGGGGTTTGTGGGTGGAAAAGAGGTGATAATCTTTTCCCATTCGTGGCTTCTCATCCTCTACCTCCTTCTAATCTCACATTTATCTAGCATGAAATTGACCAAAGCACCATCTATGGAAAAGAATAGGGACCACATTCTTTTCAAAAAAAAAAAAAAAAAAAAAAGCTGTATTTTCCTTGCTCTACATGAATCACTTAGAGTATCCTTCTCAGTGGGGCAGTCCCTCCCTTGGCTGTGGGTCCAAGCTTCTAATTTCTAATGTAGGCTTTCTGTGATCCAAGAACATCCTAAAGGATATGAACTTTCATATGTATTTAGATGTGACTGTTTTGGGGGGAGAAAGGTACACATACTTTCATGAGATTCCATGAGATCCATGCCCTGAAAATCTTAAGAATCACTAACTTAGTAAGACACACACAACTTGGTTTTTTTATAGGCAGAGAGGAAGATAACTGGTTTGCAGCATCGTCCTCATTGAGGATCATCCTGGTGGGCAAGACAGGCAGCGGGAAGAGTGCCACAGGGAACAGCATCCTCTGCCAACCAGTGTTTGAGTCCAAGCTGGGGAGCCAGGCTGTGACCACAAAGTGCCAGGCAGAGACAGGGACCTGGGATGGAAGGAACATCCTGGTGGTTGACACGCCTCCCATCTTCGAGGCAGGGGATCAGGCCCAGGAGATGTACAAGGACATTGGAGATTGTTACCTGCTCTCTGCCCCGGGGCCCCAAGTGCTGTTGCTGGTGACACAGCTGGGGCGCTTCACCGCCCAAGACACGGTGGCGGTGAGGAGGGTGATGGAGGTCTTCGGGGAAGAAGCCATGAAACACATGGTGGTCCTCTTCACCCACAAGGAGGACTTGATGGGCGGGTCGTTGGATGAGTACATCACAAACACGGACAACCTCAGCCTGAGGAGCCTGGTCCAGGAGTGCGGGAGGAGGTACTGCGCCTTCAACAACAGGGCCACCGGGGAGGAGCAGGGGGAGCAGCGGGCCCAGCTGATGGCCGTGGTCGAGAGGCTGGAGAGGGAGACCCAGGGCGCCTTCCACACCAATGACCTCTTCTTTGAAGCCCAGATGCTGCAGCGAGGTGGGGGCGGTGCCCGTGGGGAAGAGCGCTACCTGGCCAAGGTACGGGAGCATATAGAAAAGCAAAAGCGAGCCCTGAGACTGAGCAGGAGTAACTGGGCCCTCAGGGTGCTCCTCAGAATCAAAATATGGGTGTTTTCTAACCTTGGAATATCTGCTTTCCTTGTTATATGCTTTCTGATTTTTCTTGCCGTTTTAATTAACTTGTGTATTACTCATGCACACTGAGCATTTTCAGATGATTTCTGCAATCAGCTGTTTCATTTTTTGAGTCCCCTTCTCTGTCTGTGTCACATTCTTTATTTGCTTTTTTACATAATTTCCCTTAAGTTTTTCTTTCTTGCATCAGACATGCTGTATTTTTTTTTCAAGTGCTTTTAGGTAAATAAAATCTGAAGGAAAAAAATACTTCTTTTCAGTTTTGTTAAAAATCGTAATGGGGGGCACCTGGCTGGCTCAGTTGGTTGAGCATCAGACTTTGGCTCAGGTCATGATCTCACAGGTTGTGGGTTCGAGCCCCGCGTCGGGCTCTGTGCTGATGTCTCAGAGCCTGGAGCTGCTTCAGATTCTGTGTCTCCCTCTCTCTCTGACCCTCCCCTACTCACGCTCTCTCTCTCTCTCTCTCTCTCTCTCTCAGAAATAAATTAAAAACATTAAAAAAATCATAATGGTAAAAAAAAAAATGAGACAAGAAACTGTCACAGGACGTCTGCAGGAAGGAAGGTGGTGGACTGTGAAGCTGTGGGGATGTCCCACCTCTGGGCCCTATTTTGCGCAGTGATGCTGTTGAGAAGACACATGTTATATTAAAAGCTGGTAGCAGAATTCTTTATTTTATCCAGAAACATGCTCTGATTTCACTGGAGTTGGTCATAAAAGACGCCCATTGCCATCCCCACAACTTCGAGAGAGGATGATGAGGTTGTTGAGGGGACTTGGTGGGGGGGGAGGACTTTCCAAGGCAAGAAGAGGTTCAGGAGAGAATGCAAAGAAGGGGCCTGGCATGATGGAGAAGGAGAGAAAGGAGTACCACAGCAGGGTAGGGGCTGAGCCTTAGGAAAAGCAGTCACTGAGAAATTCCAGTGGCAGAGGAATGAAGGAACTGTAATTTCCTAAAGCAGGGGTTGGCAGAGCCAGATAGTGAATATTTTAGGCTTAAAAATTGGGGCACGTGGGTGGCTCAATCGGTTAAGTGTCCAACTTCGGCTCAGGTCATGATCTCACAGTTTGTGAGTTCGTTCGAGCCCCACATCGGGCTCTGTGCTGACAGCTAGCTTGGAGCCTGGAGCCTGTTTCAGATTCTGTATCTCCTTCTCTCTCTGACCCTCCCCTGCTCACGCTGTCTCTCTCTCTCTCTCTCTCTCTCTCTCCTTCTCAATAAATAAACATTAAAAAAAATTATTTATGGTCTATAGTCTACCCAGCTCTGCCCTGACCACCACAGGTAATGCAAGGCCACATTCCATAAAACTTGATGAACAGTGACATTTGAATGTCAGGTAACTCTCATATGTGGCCATGAAACATTATTCTTCCTTTGATTTCTGCTACCATTTTAAAATGTGAAGTCCTTTCTTCCCTCGCAGGCAATATGAAACACACAGCAGGCCAGAGAGGGTCCATCTCAAGGTATATTTCCCGTTCCTGGTCGAGCTGTGTTATAATGCGACATCTTAACCTCAAACTGTACAGTCCAGTTCAATCACGTGTGCTCTCTCTGCGACTTTGGGAAAAGGGTCTTGTCCGACTGTTCGATGGTAGTAAAGAGAAGAGGGCAGACATTGGGATGGAATCTGAGCAGAGGTCATGAACTCAGTGGAAACAGGAAGCCAGATGAGGGTGTGTCTAGTGGCCCCTCCCCTGCCTTCTCGTTGGTAGCTGCCCCTCCTTCTGTGCTCCTTTGTCCCTGTGAGGGAGATCCCCAATCATCCCAGCCAGCCTGTACCTGGATGTGGGGTGAGTCTCAAGAACTCCATGTGACTCCCGAGAGTCATTCTCCAAACCTCTATTCGTCATAAAGACGCCATGTTGAACCTTACAGCCATAAGTGTAACTGACTCCAGACCTGTTCCAAGGGTGTTATGTTCAAGCTCCTCAAACCCTAGACATGCTAAGGAGCTCTGAGTTTTTAGGCCAAGGACTGCCTCCTGTAGGAAGTATTCCCAATTTGGCCAACCTTACTCCGTCTCTCCTTCCTTGTGTTATTCTGGCCCAACTCCACACGCATTTACTACATGAGTACCGAGTGCCGCGTTCTAGGCTGGGCACCAGGAATAGAACACAAAACGGTACACAGCCCCTGCTCCGCACACGTGACCGCATGCTGGAGGGATGAAGGGCACATGGAAATGGGCATAAGAGCAATTTGTTTGGAGGTAAGGTGTTCGCCAAAAGGAGAGCACGCAGGCTCCCTAGACAGGGCGCTGCTTGTGCTGTCTAGTAACATGCTGGTCTCTCCAAACAGCCACTTCCGGCTGGGGGAGGCCACGGTCAAGGACGAAGAGGTGAATCAGCATGCAGGAGGAAGGGGTCAGGAGAGACAGGGCTGAGGGGGGTCCTGGGCACCACCCTCAGGGTTCCATGTCTGTCTCCTACAGAAAGGACCTCACTGGAGGCTTTTAAGGAGCTTAGTATATTTTAGGAAGTTCCGTAGCAGCAACGCCAAGGTTGGATTATATAAATGTAAACCTGGGGGCAGGGACAACACTTAGAAGAGAAGCTTTCCATCTCAGCTGTCAGGGCCTGAGCTATAACAACAACAACAAAAAAGTGGATGGAAAGGAGAAGATGTCCATGCGGAGCACTGAGGAGGGGCGGAATCAACACTAGGTGGTCCCAGGCAACAACACAGCCTCTCTCTGCTTCCCAAAAGCAGGACATTCCTAGGAAACCTTTTGAAAGCCAACATGGCCTAAGGCAAAGAAACAACTACCATTAATTTATATGAAAATTTTTTGAACATTCCCAGACCCCCCAAAATAACCATTCTTAACCTCCAGACACATCTTGCTAACAGGTGCACAAATCGGTTGAGATAAAGCCCGGAGCTCCAGAGGCTGGATGCTGAGATGCTATGTGGGGAAGGTACTGACAGGGCTGCCCTCACTGCCCCTCCAAAGGTTCATTGCAAAACCAACGCTGAACTCTATTTTCACATTTTGCCATTTGTCATGAAAATGAAAATCCTCTCCGGATTTCTTTCACTAAGCGAAACAGGTACTAATGGAAGTCTTTTATAAAAGCAAAGTGGTGAACCATGAACTTTCAAAAGCAGGAGATTCCTGTATCTATCAGGGAGGTAACCAGGTTTCTATCTCGGGCCACCCTGGGACATGTCGATCCCTCCACTGCCCTGAGCCTTCAGAGGGAGAGTGGCTTGAGCAGAGCAAGGTGAAGGCTTTGGATCTGAATATGCCAACCTTGAAGCCATCAGACATCAGTCCATATCCAGGAGATACCGGGTGATCTTGCCTCCCTCCTCCAGGCATCTGGATGAGTCATAAACTTGACCCAAGAAAGCACTGGGGTGCAGGACCTCAGGAGGAGAGCCTCCCTGCAGGCGTGCGGCTGGTTCGTCCCCAGGCTCACACAAGGGGTCTGTGTCATTGCCATTGCCATCCCACCTCTCCATGGGGAATAGAGCTGGAGGGCTGATACCCAAAGGTATTTTACAGCAACGATGAAGAAAGGGTTTCGTTAAACGTTTACTCACGTGGGAATGTTTGCCAAAGAAATTCCTTGGAAAGTGTTGTAAGGTAGGCTCTGTTTCTCCTGAAAACTGTAAAGGAAACACAGAAGACTTGCCTCACAGGGCTCGTATTCCCCCTACCCTCTCCCATTTCTTCAAAATCATCCAACTAAATGGAGTTTTCGCTTTACTCGGGATTCACTGAATATCTACTATGGAGCAGGCATCTTAGTATTAGAGGGAGGCCTTTCCCAATTCTAGGAACAAAACCAGCTCATTGGTTCTCAGTGTCCCTTCCTCGGAAGAAGCATGGGAACAGGAAAGTTCTAGTAGATTTGAAGATTTTTAAAAAGGAATATGGAGAATTCTTCATTAGTTCAAATATTTCCAAATACAGTTCCAAAAGAACTGAAGCAATCAGGAAATTTGTTGGTTGACGTTTCTGAAATCCAGAGACAGGGTGGGCTTCAGGACTGGCTGATTCAGGGCTCAGGCTCGTTCCCTCTGTCTGCTGGAAGTGTTGCCTTCAAGCTCAGGCTGGCTGCAGAAGGCTGCTGGGTTTCCAAGCATCACACTCACACCCAACAATGCCCAGGAGAAAAACAGCGATGGTCTCTTCCTGCAGGTGTCTCCTGGGAAAGGAGAGACCTTCTGGTTTCATCTCTGCAGGTTTTTACTCACTTCTCATTGGCCTGAATTGCATCTCAGGCCCATTCCTGAACTAGTCACTGGACAAGAGAATGGGGTTGTATATAGACAAGCCAGGCATCCCCAGAGCTCCATTTGGGAGAGCTGGGGGCCTGAGCCAAACCCAAAGTTTGTAAGGATAAGAGAGAATGGGAGCTACACAGACAACAAGCTGTGTCCTCCGCAGATGATGAGGATTTCAGACCTGGTGACACACAGGACATGCTGTGGCATACAGAGGACAGGATTTTTTTTTTTTTCATAAACTTTCTACCCAGTGTGGAGCCTAAACTCATGATCCCAAGACCAAGAGTCACACAGTCCACAGACTGAGCCAGCCAGGCGCCCCAGATGACACAGAATTAAAGATGAGGCAGGATAATAAGTAAAATAAGAATAAAAGGTAAGTTGCACCCTCTGAGACACACATGGAACTCCTGGGAGGTGACCCAGCCTTTGACTCTGAGGAGCGCCCTGGTGGCTCATTAGTCCTGCTCTCCTTCAGGGCTCGCTGTTGCTTTTCCACCTGCTCCCGCACCCTGGCCAGGTAGTGCTCTTCCCCACGGGCACCGCCCCCACCTCGCTGCAGCATCTGGGCTTCAAAGAAGAGGTCATTGGTGTGGAAGGCGCCCTGGGCCTCCCTCTCCAGCCTCTCGACCACGGCCATCAGCTGGGCCCGCTGCTCCCCCTGCTCCTCCCCGGTGGCCCAGTTGTTGAAGGCGCAGTACCTCCTCCCGCACTCCTGGACCAGGCTCCTCAGGCTGAGGTTGTCCGTGTTTGTGATGTACTCATCCAACGACCCGCCCATCAAGTCCTCCTTGTGGGTGAAGAGGACCACCATGTGTTTCATGGCTTCTTCCCCGAAGACCTCCATCACCCTCCTCACCGCCACCGTGTCTTGGGCGGTGAAGCGCCCCAGCTGAGTCACCAGCAACAGCACATGGGGCCCCGGGGCAGAGAGCAGGTAACAATCTCCAATGTCCTTGTACATCTCCTGGGCCTGATCCCCTGCCTCGAAGATGGGAGGCGTGTCAACCACCAGGATGTTCCTTCCATCCCAGGTCATTGTCTCCGCCTGGCACTTTGTGGTCACAGCCTGGCTCCCCAGCTTGGACTCGAACACTGGCTGGCAGAGGATGCTGTTCTCCATGGCCCTCTTCCCACCTCCTGCCTTGCCCACCAGGACGAGCCTCAGTGAGGATAATCCTGGATTTAACCTCTCTTCCCCACCTGTCAGAGCACAAAGATTGCCCGGCAAAGTATCCCCGTTTGGTAAACTCACAAAAGCAATTCTGCCCCGTGTTTCATGGTGCTGGTAGTATGGAGAATGAACAGCCATCCCAGTTTACCCAGAACCGAGAGGTCCCCTGATCAAAGGACATGGGGAGAGTCCCAGACAAACAGGACAAGTTGGTCACACAGGTTGTAAATTGCCTGAGTCCAGCGGCGCGGTGGCATGGAGTGCTTATCAGCAAATAGAGGGAAGACCTGATCTGTTATAATCAGACCAACTGTTAAGCTACCAAATATCCCTGCTCCCATGTTCTTAGGTCAAATAGTCTACTTCAGGGGCATCTCTCCCCGGCCCATTCACCTTCCTTCATTGTCCCCCAGGCACCTTTTTCTTGATCCTTCTCTTTCTTCTTACTCCCCACCACTCAGGCCTCACCCAAGAATGACTTCTCAGCTTCACTTGAGAAACCTGCAGAGCCCTTTGCAAAGCCAAGACCTCGCTGCATGCAAACTGTTAGAGTATTTCCCCTCGTAACAGTTTCAAGGAATTAATGCTAATGAATGAATCTCTAATTGTGTAAGTTTTAAGTCCAGGACAGGTGAATTAGAAAAAAAAACAAACCCTACTTTTTGAAACAAATTTCCTAGTGCCCTTGGGATCATACCATTTAGGGTGTTACCTGCTTCCCCCCCCCCCCACATGCCAAACTAGCCACAGGGATCAACTTGGCAGAAAAAAATAATTTAATAAATAACATGGGAATCGTTCTATCATACAGCTTCCTGGTAATGTCTCGTAACTTATCCAAATGGTATTTTAGAGACAAAAGAGAGAAAAGGTAACAACTTACCACCCCTTACGATCGCTATTCTTTGTCCAGTTCCTATGGAAACTAGTCTCACCTGGTTTGTAAAGTCAGTTTCACTGTATGGCCAATTTGTTGGGTTTTTTTAATATTTATTTTTGGTGGAGTGAAAGCAGGGGAGGGGCAGAGAGAGGGGGACAGAGGATCTGAAGAAGGCTCTTCTCTGACAGGCTAACAGCAGTGAGCCCAAAGTGGGGCTTGAACTCATGAAACTGAGAGATCATGACCCGAGCTGAAGTCGGACACTCAGCCGACTGAGCCACCCAGGCAGCCCTGAATGTCCAATTTGAATAAGAGTTATCCAGATTGAAGAACCACAGTACTGAGTATTCAAGTCAGGCCTTGCTTTTGTGTCCAAGCTAGTGTGGGTCTGCTGGATGGAGACCAGCCCTGAGAACTTTCCATCACCCTGCCATCCATGAAGGGGCCTTTCAAATCAAGTGTGCTGGTTAATCTTAGGTGTCAGCTTGGCTAAGCCAGAGTGCCCAGTGGTTTAATCAAGCACCTATCTAGGTGCTGCTGTGAGAGTGTTCTTTGGATGTCCTTCAGTAAAGATTGCCTGTCAACATGGGTGGGCCTTGTGCAATCAATTGAAGGCCTTAAGAGCAAAAAGCAACGTTTCCCAGAGAAGAAAGAATCCTGCCTCAAGACTTGAACATCCACCCTTGCCGGAGTTTCCAGACTGCCAGCCTGTCTGAATTTTGGACCTATCAGCCCCCATAATGACATGAGCCAGTTTCCATAACATAAACGTACTCATATATATATCCGATTGCTTCTGTTCTCTGGAGAACACTGATACATCAATCTAGCCCAATTCCCTCTGTTGGAAGTTGGGGAACGAGCAAATCTGAACGTAATTCTCATCGTTGGCTCATTCTTTTCAAGGATGGAGCTTATAAGGAGAATTTTTTTTTGAAGATGTCATTCCATAGGTTGACAATGTTGAAAGCTGATGTTTTTGAGATTAAAGCTTATTTTCAGTGTTGAGGATTTTGAAACCAAGGTGCTCTGTTTGCCCACATACTGCCCCGTATCCTCTTCGGAGGTGGTCTCCGGAGCGCGAGCAGGGCGCAGGTGTACAAGATGGGGACTGGTGTGCCGAGACTGGCAGAGAGAGGACCTTAGGGTCAGGTGACACATCCAGTCCTTTTACCTGGGGGTGGGAAGGGCTGCACTGAGGGGTCCCTAACACTAACACGGCAGAGATAAGAAGCCGTCTTTGCCCAGCACCGCGCGACGGAGGGACGGTGGCGCTCACAGGGCTGCACCTGCCTGCACCCCTGGGTGTCTCTTGCCTCGTGCGCGGCAGGGTGGGAGGAGGGGGGCGCCTAGGCCCCTCGCCCCGGAAGCCAGCCTGAGCGGAAGAGAAGTGAAATAAGAGGTTCCTTCTCCAGGCCATCTCAGGCTTTCTCGGCTTCCTCGATTGTTTTTTGGGGGAATTTTCCCCTCCCCAGTCACAGTGCTACTGCTCCAGTCCTACGGCCATCTGGGGCCATGTGGCTATCGTCACCCCTCCCCGCTCCGGCCCCGCGCGCCTCGCTGCGCCCTGGTGGCCCCTCAGTCCCCTCCAGACATAGCGCTTCCCCCCTGCTCAAAACCTTACTCAGGGCTGCCCATCAAGCCGCCCCCCTCATTTCCAGCCATCCGCCCTCCCATTAATTCGTTAACAAATGCTATTAAGCACCTCATCCACTTGGTGGAAGGCAGAGGGGTGCTCCTTCCTGCCAGGAAAGCACCTCTGAACGAAGGAGAGTGGAAGGGGGTCCCCTGCATCCGCTTCGGGAAGCCCTGCGTCCTGCAACACTCCACTGGCGGTCGGAGGGCGAGCGCGGGGAGCGAGAGGTGGAGCCAGCTCTGCGGGAACTGCCGCGACCTCCAACTCCCCTGGACGACCGAGTAACAGTAATGTCATCCCTCCTTTCCCCACTAGAGGGAGCTGGAGATGGCCGTGCTGATAGCGGAAGCAGAAGCAGGTGCATTTGTGGGAAACTGATTCAATCAGTGAGAGGATAGGGCGGGTCATCTCCCAGGAATAGAGCCCTGCTGCTTATAACTACACTCTGCCCAACGACGAGGTTTAAATCGATTTTGAAACAATACGCGTATTTCTTTATCAGACAAAAAGCAAATGTTTCACCTGAGCAGATCACGTTGAGCCATACCCCCTGGAATCTTTCCCCCTCGCTTTAAAATGGAAACTGTTTCCGCCAAGTTGAGTGGTGGATGCAACAAAAACAAGAGATGGAAATGAAGAGTAAAATCAAAAGACAAGTTTTCAGGGGGCTCCGTTGGTTAAGCCTCCAACTCTTGGTTTCCACTCAGGTCATGGTTCCACAGTTGGTGGGTTCGAGCCCCGCATCAAGTTCTGTGCTGACAGTGCAGAGTCTGCTTGGGATTCTCTCTCCTCCTCTCTCTGTCCCTCCCCACTCAAAATAAATAAGTAAACTTTTTAAAAGGCAGGTTTTCAGCTCATTTTCCAAAGGGCACCCTATGAGTTCTGGGGCAAGAGCAGGGGAGGAAGTTCAAGCCATCTACCCTCGCCCAGCAGTGGGGAGGGCACCCCACACGTGCACCCACATACGGGTGCAGCAATGGATGTGAGTGTATGTGAAAATACTTTTGCACAAACACAGGAAATAAGCTTTCTAGTATCACCAAAGGGCTTCTTATTGCTCTGAGCTCATTCTGTCCAAAATTTTAGATTCTGAAAAATGTAGTATCAGTAATATTTTCAGGTTGCTCTTATTGGGGGCTTTAGGGTATATATTCCTTGATCCTAATTGTTTAAGAATAAAGATAAGGCTTAGAAAGATCAAATGTCCAGACGGACACAGATGTTACCAGTAGACCTGGTACAGGAGGGACAGAGAGAGACAGAGACAAAGCACAGAGATAGAGGGAGATGGAAAAAGAGAGAGAGAGAGAGAGAGAACCCTGTTATCTGGTGGGCCCGGGGATATTTTGCACGTTCTACAAAGAGTGTCTGAGCAATCTTCCCTTCCCTCCTCTCCTGTGTAGCCTCTCTCTCTCATTGGCTTCTGGTCTCTTTAAACAAACACACACACACACACACACAAGCAGTGAGGGATGAAAAAACTAGCCGCCACAAATTCTCCCTGGTGGGGGGAGGTGTTAGACCATGTCCTTGGCAACAGGAAAAGAACAACAGGTGTGTTTCCTCAAAAAAACCATCTTCCGAGTGACCCAGAAGCCCTCGGAGACTTCAGAGGAGAAGAGTCTTTTGTTTTGCTTTTAGTAACAGCTCTGTTTCTCTCTCCCCACCACAGCTTCACGATGCTTCTGTGCAAAACAAGTTCTCTACCCAAGCTAGTCAGGAGAATGGAGACCCAGAGAAGCCAATGAATCTCTGAGGCCTCCCAAACCAAGCCAGCCACTGCCTTTCACTGGACCCCAAATTTGGTGGTTCTGGAAGAAATAAAAGTTTCAAGTGGACATGCACCTCCCTATCCCCGCCATGTACCTCTCTGGCATAAAGATAGTCTCTTACACATAATTCAAGATGGCAGTGAAGGCTAAGCTCAAGGCAGGCACCTCGGTGAGATGGTCTTTGGCTCTGCTCTCTCTCTCTCTTATGTCTCTGCTTACTGCTTAACTGCCCTGCCCCTGGGTTAGCGGTGCTCTGACCTAAGGGGCAAACAAGGGTTAGTAGGTTTCTTCCCCAGGTGGATTCGCTCTTGCACAAAACCAGGGAGACATCCGTCCCCACCCCACGGTGTGATTGAGTCAAAGCGACAAGCACTGAAGGGGTCAGGGGTGCTCTGGGCCCCTCGCACTGCCCTGGGCAATGCTCCACCTCTACCTGTGCCCACTGGCCCTGTCATGGAGCCCCTGCATCCTGGGTGGTCGAAACTCCTTTCTGGAGACATTCTTAGGTTGAGTGTGGCAGAGTTCCACTGGCGGCTTGCACACTTGAGTTCCGACTGCTTCTTGAAAAGCACCTTTAAGCAGAAAAATGAGATACAGGGAACTCTTAGTTCTTGGCTTAGAGAGAAGGGCAATCATGATGCAGAGAAACACAATTCACATTTTGCAGTGAAAGCCATGCTTGACTTACAAAATAGTCTCCCATATTAATATTGTAATTTTCGCTTCTCAAATAATAATGGCTAGTACACTGAATGGGGTGGAAATCTGCCCTCTTGCTATGGAAGACAGAAAGGCATGTGTCTAATACATAGAGAACATCATTTTCTTTCACCAGCTAGAAATGCCTCTG